GAAGAATAGGTTGGAATAAGTTTAGAATTGTTATAAGCTTGAGAAACAATATGCGATAACCACAGGGTTCATTCCTCCTTTTTATTACAAAGAATTTGTAGTCATTGAGTTTTACAGTGTTACATACTAACGGTTAGTTGAAGTTTATGATAGTAAAAAATATTATAATAAAATAAAACGAAAAGTTGGGGAGAAACAAATGATGATGATTTTCACACCAAAATAGGGTAATGCTGGGAATAGAAACTGAAGAAGTCAAATCCGAAGGCCAAAGTACATAAAATATGTAGAAGAAAATAGGAAGTATAACAACATTTACTTATACTGTTGTTCTGGCTTATACATTTAGATGTCCTTCTGAAGTAGACAAATCGTACCATGAGCTTGTTTTCCGAGAGTTTATACACAAGCTGTGGCATACAGGCAGCTTTTAGTTTTCTTTCTGTTGAAGTTATTCAAACTCAGGAGCCTTAGCGGTAGAGCGCATTCCCATACTTCGCGGTGACACTTTTGCACGTGTTTTCGCTGATATTCATATTTCGGTTCTGCTATATTATCACCAATTATAATGGGCAAAAACTCTAACAAGCTTGTTCTTAGGAGCACTAGTAATTTAGAAAATAGCTTAAGCTTATCTAGTAACTGCGTCGGTGGCACAGTGGTTAGGACTCTAGCCGACCATGCACATGGTCCGAGGTTCGAGCCCCTGCCGGCGCACACCCGATATCTATGGTCAGCCTGAATTTGGGCTACCGATATCCATGCTGAAAATGCCATACTTGTACTGAAAAGTACGGTGTGGCATCAAGCTGTAACCAAAATAAAATAAAAAAATAAATAATTATCACCCCTAAAATCAGCTGTAATAAGCAGTTCACCCAATACAAATGGTTCCAACATAATGCTATCACCTGTAATTAAGGTGGAAGATATCCTATCAGAAAAGCCTGAGATAACCAACTAAATCTACTTGACCCGGTACCAGAAACAATCTTCCATCTTAAAACGGAACTGGGGGATCCCACTTTCCTAAAACTCTTTAAATTGAAGACTAAACAAACCGATGATGAATTTGAACATGCTAAGGAGCGAGAGAACGCTATGGACTATCTGTCGAGCGAAGTTGTTAAGAGACTGGCTTCTAAACAGAACGCCATAGTGTACAACATACCTGACAATGAGCCCATGAAGTCGGTTCAGCACTCCTTGTTAAGAGCTGCAAACCTCTTAAGTACACCCTGTCAGTGTATTAGACTACATAAAAAAGAGTCAAACCGCACATGTCCCATACTTTTCAGGTTTGACAGCTGTATAATAGCCGAACAATTTAGGAAATCTGGGGATACTCTGGCCTCCACTATGAAATTCAAAAATGTTAAAATAGTCTCGGACAAAACCCCCAACCAACGACAAGTAGCTAAAAATGCCTTAGATACGAACACGACTGTACCACAAATCATGAATAGCATCAGTGCCGAAGTATCGAAGGACACTGAACCACAAAGTGACACTTGCATTGTACTAGGTGAACAGACGACACGCGAAGGTGAAGGGAAACCCAAAAGGGGCAGTAACACTGAAATAGGTCTCGAAATTCGTGAGAACACTCCTAGGGAAGCTACCGACCTCGCACATGAGGTAGACATAGATGCTTCCGCTACGGATAACCTACAAATATCGGCAGATAACACTACACTCAGGGCCAAGCAAGATTATCTCACAGTAAAAGCCGAAAAGAAGTCCCCTAAAACCAAGGTGTCTCCATAGGCGTCCACACACCTCTATTGTGACAAGCCCAACAAGCAGCAGGTAAGCCTAAAAAAGAACCATGCACGCATTACGGCAGGTCCCATAAAGGAGACGGAACACGAGAGTGGAAGTGCTCTTCGTCGAACTAAGGGTAGTAGACAGACTGTGGATGACAGACGACACGAGGTGAAAGCTAACAGCAAAAATAGCTCTATCCACACAAAATCACACGCTAGCAGACACGGAAGGGGAGTCGAGCCGAATAAACAGCAGAGTGAGACCCACAATTTCCGTAATAGCCTAGGTTGTAATATGCCAATAGGCTCATATCACCTGGGAACGGGACCCATGAAAACACAAGGGCTACTAGACGGGACACCACTAGGTGCTATATGAACGGAAATGCATACTCGAACCCTCGTAGTAGTTACGTAAAGCCCCATCGGCATAACGGGTATAGATTGAATCACGGTCCTTCTATGTACACGCACGTAATGAGTCCACAAATATACAACTGCGAAAAACTGGGCACGCACTGCCGTCAAAACAACCTAAAAACAGGTTATTTCGGCCCTGTAAATAACAATCTGATTACTGAAAGACTATCTAATGGCGAAGAATGATTCCAGATACCCACGTAATGAGGCTAGAAACCAATATATGCAACAGGATTATTTTTGGTCGCAGCAAACAATAGCCCCTCATGCAGCACAGTTTGTTCAGGGAATAGAAGACACGCTGACAATGTCTCGTCTGAGAATCCCTCCGAACATAACATAGGCAACCAGGAGTTAGGGATAGTAGCAAGAAAACCCACTAATTACCCTCCCAACAAAACTGGTTTTCTGAAAATTATGCTCTTAAATGCTCGATCTCTCCTTAACAAAATAACTTCCCTTTGCAGCTTGGTATACATGGAACGGCCAACACTGATCCTGGTAACTGAAACTTGGCTAACTAATTATATACCAGACACAAAGCTGATAATTGATAACTATGACATCCACAGGAATGATAGAGTGGACAAAAGAGGAGGCGGGTGTCTAATATATGCTTCTAAATCCACTGACCCCAATACTTTTACAAACCTAACCATTGACAAACTCCCAGAATCTGAGTGGATAAGCATCCACACGAATGAAAATAAAATTCTAGTGGGATGTATATGCAGAGCCCCAAGCAGCCCTAAAAGGACTGATACGGTTATCGTAGAAATACTAGAGCATGTACCTACTCTGGAATTCGACTACAAAATAATTTGTGACGATTGTAACCTCCCCGGAGTGAACTGGGATACCTGCACTGGACCCAGAATCCATGACGAGCTCCTAGAAGCTATAGATGTAGGAGGATGGAAGCAGTGCGTGCGCCTCCCAACACGACATAACAATATTCTCGACTTGGTCCTCTGCCACAAAATAGAACCGATCTCGATAGAGGTGGGGGATAAACTCGACAACAGTGATCACAACATACTGTACTGCACCCTAATTCTTCAACTAACAACTAAACACACACCTAAAAATTTCCCGGTTCACTATCAATATAGGGACTATAGAAATGCCGACCGGGAATTCCTACCAACGCTCTTGAGAAGCTCTGACTGGGATGAATACTTTACAAATGATAACTTAGAAGTAACACTTGATACCTTCTAGAAGACGGTCAGTTCGGTAAGAGATACAATCGCACCCCTAAAATCTGCCCTGAAGACACCAACTCTATTCACAGACCGCAAAACGAGATTAAAACACCAGATACATGAAACATGTAAAAATCA